AAGGGAAACAAGGAAAGACAAAGCAGGGCCCTGATATTGAGTGAAAAGTAAATATTTATTGGATTTTTCATTGTAATAGGATTGTCTACTACTGAACTGATGCTAATTAAAAGGATATTTCCTTATCAAAATAAATTGACAGTTCTGAAGTTCTTCACACATTGCTAAGAAAAGGGGCTGAGCTGGGCGTGGCGGAACATGCCTATGATCCCTGCACTCTGGTAGGCTAAAGTAGGAGAACAGCAAGTTCAAACATGACCTGGGCAGTTCAGTGATTTTACTGTGACTCTGTCTCAAGACAAAAATGAATGAATAAATAAATAAATCACAGGAAAGAAAAAGGGCTAGGGATGGAAGCCCTAGGTTCAACTCCCAGTACCAGCAGCAAAAAGAAGAAGAAAAAGGAAGGGTGAGAAGGACAAGAAGGGGAAGAGGAAGAAGAAGAGAAGGGGCGGGGAGCAAAATGAGGAAAAGACAAGGAAAGTGGGGCTGGGCTGGGAGTGGAGCGCTGCCTGGCCTCGTGATTCATGAACAACCGAAGTGCTCAAATGTGCCCATGATAGAAAGAGAAACTGCCCCCTTCTTCTGTCCTAGGAAACAGCAGGAGTCGTTTTGTTCACTGCTTTATGCCCAGGACCCCTCTAGGGCCTCGTGTACAGTAAATATGCAGTAATTATTGTCCAGATGAATGCATGGGCCCCGGGAGTAGAGCGCCCTACTCTGGCCATCTGAAGGGGCCAGACTGGCAGAGTGGAGCTGGCCGTGCCCGTCGTGGACCAGGCCCTCACTGAGAGGAGGAGGCAGTTACCTCTCGCTGCTCCTCATTTGGTTGAATTCTTGGCTCAGGGCTCAAAGCTTTCGGCTTGGATTATTGTAAAGGTTTCTCTTTTTTGCTCCCTAATTTTAAAACAAAAAAACTTGTGATAAGATGCATATAACAAAATTTTGACATCTCACCCATTTTAAGTATGTATACAGTTCAGTGACGTTAAGTACATTGACATTTTAGAATCACCGCTGATGTTTATTCACAAAACCTTCCCATCTTGCAGAACTAAACCCAGTACCTACTGAATGATAACTTCTCATTCTGTCTTCCTCCCAGCCAGTAGCAACTACCATTTAAACTTCTGCCTCTGTGAATTTAACTATCCCGAGTCCTTTATGTAAATGTAATCAGACAGGTTTTGTCCTTTGTGACTAATTTCACTTAACATCCATACTAAACACGTGCAAAGTTTCCTTCCTTTTGTAAAGCTGAATGATAGTCCACTGTACACATAACACATTGTATTCATCCATTTTCTTCATTAAGAAATAGTTGGACTGCAGCAACTAAACATGTGCAAAGTTTCCTTCCTTTTGTAAAGCTGAATGATAGTCCACTGTACACATAACACATTGTATTCATCCATTTTCTTCATTAAGAAATAGTTGGACTGCAGCTGGGCATGGTGGCGCATGCCTGTAATCCCAGCACTCGGGGGGCTGAGGCAGGAGGATCCCTGTGAGTTCAAGACCAGCCTGAACTACATAGTGAGTTCCAGGTCAGTCTCAACTACATAGTGAGACCCTGTCTCAAAAAACCTTAAAAAAAGAAAGAAAAGAAATAGTTGGACTGCTACTAGTTTTTGGTTACTGTGAATAATGCTGTTACGATATGACTTTACCGTACTTTTTCACGCCTCTACATTTGGTTGGGTATATAACTAGGACCAGAATTGCTGGATCGTACCGTAATTTTATTTTTAATATTTTGAGGACCTGACACACTCTTTCCCATAGCACCTACCTAATTTTCTCATTCTAACCAACAACTGTTATCTCCCTTATTCCCTCTCTCTCCTTCTTTCCCCTTCCTTCCTTTTAGTGGATATTCTGATGAGTACAATTAAGTGATCCTTTAAGTGCCCTCTTTGTTTCCAGACTTCCCTTATTAAATTTCTTTACTTCATTATAGCTAACATTTTTTTCTATCTGAAAATCTAACCATGCAAATTCTATGATTTCTGATTTTCCTTGCTTTACATTCTAAGTTTTGAAAAACATGCTTCCCTTTTACGTCTCATTTCTAGCCAATCTGCACTCTAATCATAATAAAATTCTTGCTTCTAAAAATTTAATATCTACTTTCAAGTCCCTACTTCTATCTACTTTCAAGTGTTAGTGATTGGCATGGAATGTCTTAATTCTATGTTTTCCAAATAGCATTTATTATTTTTGTAACTTTTCCCTCATTCACTACCTATTTAATCTTATTTCTCTATGATCTTTTCCTTTGGATAGATTTTAAACAGCTTATTTAAAAAATTTTGCATTATCCTAAGCAAAATTATTTATGAAAGGATGGTTGTTAATGTGCCAGTCATCTTAGTATTTTTTAGTAAATACATTGCTTACAAATAAAAAACTCTGTACATGACCAAAAATTCGTCTCAGAGGCCAACAATGCTCCACATACCACACTTTGGGAGAGGCAGTGCTAACCTACCTTTCCTGACTACTTGTTCCGGTCCAGCCCAGCCTTAGGGTGAGCCCCTGCGTTGGGAGTAAGACGTGCAGTGATCGTGACACTGGCTCTAGGGTCAGCTGAGTGGCTCCAAGTCTCCAGTTGCCCCTCAGTAACTCTGTGACCTTAGACCTGTTATTTAACTTCTGTAAGCTCAGTTTCCTTTTTTGCAAAAAGGGCTAATAATAGTTCCTCCCTGAAATTGTTTCTTGAGGTGTCATTAGGATAACGTATGCAGCGCGAGATAGATTCTAACGATCCTGTCATAGAGAAGCCAGGTCCTAACACCAGAAGATTTTAACACCACGAGCCCCTGAAGACACACCTCCATTTTTGGTGTCTTTGGTGAGAGATTTCAGACAGGACTCCTAGGCTGTGTCATAGAATGTAAGAAGAGCTTATTGCAAAATGATAGGGATTGTGGGCAGGTGCTGAGATGGCAGTTTCAAGGTCCATTGTGTGTGTGTGTGTTTTGTTTTTTTTTTGTACTGGGGATCGAACTCAGGACCTTGAGCTTGAGAAGCAGGTTGTAGAACCACTGAGCTAAATCCCTGGCTGTCAAGGTCCATTTTTATGATTAACTACGTAATTCAAGAAATACCCTTTCCTTCCTCCAAGGACTCTGTTCTTTTACAAGGAAAATAGGCTCTGTTGATCTACAAGGTCCTTGCTTACTCTTTGTGTGGATGCTTTCTGTTTAGTTTGTTTGGAGGCCGTGAGGTTTTTTCCAACTCCCCTCCCATGGTCCTGACTTTGTGTGGGTCACAGACCGCATCAGCACAATCAGAGGAGGCTACATTCTCTGGAGCTAAAGTTTGAAACCACACCTTTTGTGGGTTTTAATCTACAGCTAAGGATTAAGAAACTGAAAGAAAAAAAGGGGAAAAAAATCACATCTTTGCTTGTCCAGTAATTCCCAGCCACTGGTCCCCAGCCTGCTAATGGCTAACTTTCTGCCTAACACATCCTAGCTCTCCTTTCGCTCTATGTAGCATTAAAATCATCTGAAGTTCTCCTATCATGAAACTGATGGGAACAAATGGAAAGCATGTGCTTTTATGGTTGATTTAAGGTAAGTAGCACAATCATTTAACTTTAACTTTTCTGGGACTCTAAAATTACAGTGTTTCAGAGCCAAATGGGATGTGAAGTTGAGCTCGTGGATGTTTCCCCTGCCTGTTTCAGTCAGCATCTGCAGGGTTAGTGAACAAGGCAGAGGGGTGGGAAGCCGAGCTGAGCTCCAACAGCTGTCTCTCCCTTTGTGATCCCAATGGCTTCAAAGAAAACCAGAGGTACCTGAATATTTATTTCAGCTTCCAGTACCTGAGAACACAAGACTTCTCATAGAAGTTGTTGCTATCGCCTGGCCTTGTTCTCCTCGAGCCCTCCGTGTCGAGTAAGGTTTTCCTCTCATCTCTACTGTGCTTTTGAATCCCTTGGGTTGTCCTTTGTGCCTAGCATTGTCCCCTCCCTTTGCTGTTTTGTTCTCAAAGTGCTAGTTTTTTTTTTTTATTTACTCTTTCTGTGAAAATCCTCAGCGCAGAGACTGAAGGAAGAAGAGGGGTGAATGCATGGGAGGAAGAAATGGAAACAAATTTAAGAGATGCTCGAATGCCTGCCCTTCTGTAAGTTGGCTTTGTCGTTTTAGGCAAATGGCTTTCTCTGTACTTCTGGGATAGTAAACCCCTCGGGCAGAGACCACTGCACTGCTACCCTCGGGATCCTGCCGAGTACTGCGTCAGTGCTCCATAAACAGTGACACCATAACTCCGTCCTCACACTCAGCGGTTCTCTCTGCAATCTGAAGCAGGTGATAAGGACAATATCATTTTTCTACTAGATCCATTTCGGTCATAAGTACTGAAGGGGAAAAAAAGATTTTACCATGGAAGTTTTATTTCCATATCATTATAAGAGAAGAGTAGGTATAGTTTCGTGTTCCTTTTCTTCTAAAGTTGACAAAAAGTAAAGATTTTTCCCTTAGTAGCTGCTTAATATATTTATATATCCAAGACCTTTATCTTACAGCTTTATGGGCTTCTAACATTTAACCCCCACAAACCTCACATTTAAGATGAAATAGGTGCTGTGGCAGGGATGCTTCAAAAAACAAGGATGCACTATTTTTCAGATATCTAGTTTCAAGTTCTTGTGTTTCCTTTGGAGTCAATAGACCTTTTAATTCTAACACAGTATTTTATGTTTAAAAAACAAATTAGACTGTCAATAATCATTAAATGAAAGGTGTGCCTTTTGGCAGAAAATATCAATAATGGATTATACAAATAAGTACACTAGAAAATTTAAGTTATATTTCTAGAGAAATCAACAGATTAGTTTGGTAAATAAATTTTTTAGTTCTTTTAGTTAATATCAATTCTGTCAAAAAGATTACTTGGATACCAAAAGTCATTTTAAAATCTTCTTTATTGATTCATTTCTCCATAATTTCTACCAAAAGTTATGTGTCAAATTTAACTATTTTGTTGTGATAGAAAAATTAAATAGCAATTGTTATTTAAAATAATTAACCTCTCTTGAGTAACAGAAGAGATTTAATTATATGTCTCCATGAGAACAGTAATCCAATTTTATAATATAAAATTAAAGCAATTAAGTTCACTTCCAGAGTGCTACAGAAGGAAGCATGTTTAGCAGAGCATAAATGAATAACGTGGTGGGATGTGGGGTATGTTGAGAAAATGGACCACCAAAGGTTTCCAACTATTAATTTGAATTTAAATGATATATACTATATTAATTTATATGTCAAAGGATATATATTAATATATATATATAAGTGCTACAGAGAAGCATGTTTAGCAGAGCATAAATGAATAACGTGGTGGGATGTGGGGTATGTTGAGAAAATGGACCACCAAAGGTTTCCAACTATTAATTTGAATTTAAAGGATATATACTATATTAATTTATATGTTATAAGATATATATTAATATATATATATATATATGTATATTC